CGGAAGGCCAAATAAAGTGCTTTTGCTTTCGCACTGAAACACACAGCGTCTCCCTGACATGCTGCATCAACATTACTGCTGTTCCTGAAACCACGCCTTCTTTCTTTGCGTGCACATTTGGGTGGCATTATGCTAATATTTCCACATAGTGACGTAGACATGTGGGGGCGTGTTAGAAAGAGGCGTTTTAGGTAGGAGTGGTTGACTCTTAACTTTTATAAAGAATATCTCTTTGGATTTGAGACTTTAGTCTTTGCAACTTTACAGATCTTCTTTATGCACCAAGAGCGTGTAACACTTCAAAGAGAAAGGAAAACTTGAAATCGCATCATATGACCCCTTTAAGGAAATGGCCTGAACCTGATTCAAATAATTAATCATTTTATGGTGTCACTATTAATGCAATGTACAGATAAATGGCATGTAATTTGTTATACTGTTTAATGTATTGATTCAGGTGAGGACATGCAGTGTGGGAGTGTGGCTGTGTTTGCACTAAGAATGAAAATAATGCAACATGAATTGCAACACCTTTTTCTTCCTTGTTCCTTCTCTCTCTCTAAAAAACATACAAACTGGTTCGAGCAGTTTTGTCCCTGGTTGTTTCTGTGCAAAAACATTGTGATAAACAGATATGGAAAAATTCAGTTTTCTTACTCTGCATCCAACTTTATAGTTTTCAAATGCAGCCATGACATTATTCCCACACTGTAAACTCTCTCAGGGTTTAGCAGGTCATATCTTGTTCAAGTTAGTCAGCGCCTGGCTTGTTTTCTGTCTCTTGCTTTTTGTTTCAGAGACTTGTTTCTAACAGCTCAGGGCTTGAGTGGCGTTTGACAGATGGCTGGAAAGTAGAGTCATCAATGCACATGTACCAACCCGCTGCTAATGGTGGCCTATCCCTCCTGCATACGGCCCTCTATTGTCTTGTTTACCAATGTCGTCTTGTGTTTAGTGGGTTGCCAGGGATTCAGAGAACTGTTACCCATCCGACTGGTTGGACCACCCCAAAAGTTGATGGGGTGGAGTGTGCAAGCCGCCTTGAAAATCTAAGCACTGATGTGTCACTCAAGATAAAGTGTCAAGTAAGCTAAAGGTGAGACAAAATATTTTTTTCCCACCCATTTTCCAGCAAGTGCTGCCAAATCCTTCTTAGATGTATAAAAGTGGGACCATGTGGAGCAACTAATAAATAAGCAATTGTGCTTGTGCAAATAGCTTCAGCTTCAATATTTTCCAAATTATTAGTGAGTGTGAAGTACATTAGATATTTCCAAACCTCTACACACAAAGGCATGCACAAATCCACACGGCATTTGCAGGCAACATGGGTAATAGTTTGTGGAGTGCTCACACACATTTCTGTCAAATGAGTTTTGCTATATTCAACCCAGCATGCTTTGAGTCTTTAATAACATTTCTTGAAAATATGTTTATCTGGCACATAGGTCATTTGAAATTGCTTGCAAGCAAAGCTAAATCAGTCTTACCCCTGTTCTCGGCTTTGCAAGTAGCGTCTGAGGAGGACAATAGCTGTAAAGATAAAAGGGATCTTAATGAGAAAATAGTGGTCTTTTTTGGTCAAATACTCCAAGACATCCAACACCCATCAATGGAACTGTTTGACTTTAAAAAAATTTGGCATAGAGCTTTAGCTCCTGTGTTTCTTGTAAAGTTCACACCCATATTAAACTGACTTTTTACAACAAGGCAAACCTTTCAGATATTAATTTACAGCATGTATCTCATAAACTTTATAACTGCTGTATAATTAGAAGGATGTATCTCATTAGTAGTCATGGGTATTTGTATGTAAAGTGTGTTTCTTTACACAAGTTTTCATACATTTGCATAGGCACTGAATGTACAATACGTTACTAACGAATTGACAGAATCTAAAATGGCATTTTTGGTATGAACGACTTTATAGATGTACAAATGTTCATTAATTATTTTAAGCTTATAGAATATTGAATTCAAATTAATAATAAAACAGGTATAATTTGAAGGATTCATAAATATTTTTATGAACTTAACCCTAAATGCTTTTACATTACAGAAGATGTCAGTATTTCCACATTGTGCATTTCAGTTTATATCCAAATACACAAAAATGTGCATGTAAACATTACAAATACTATGAATAGCCCTACTAATACGATCTAGCTGCCATTTGCTGGAATCTTTTCACTAATCTTGATCATATAAGATTTTTACACATACTGTTTGTGAAAACTAATAGCATGACAACTAATAGCATGACTTTAGTATCAACTCATATAAGATTTTTACACGTACTGTTTGTGAAAACTAATAGCATGACTTTAGTATCAAACTAGTGATATAGTAAGTGTGTTAGTGTGACTGGGATTCAACCTACCTACAATACCTCCAATAGCCAGAACTATGACGCTAACGGCAGCTATGATGATTACCAATGTTCCACCTACAAATTAACAATAAAAACCAGGAGGATGTGGATTATATTTGTGCACATGTTCTTTTAACTCCAAGTCAGACATATGAATGAATCCATAAATAAAAAAGTTTTTTTTATCAACCTTCATTATCTCCTGTGGATTTATCTGATCCAGGACTTGCTTTAGGAATTTCTCCAGGACTTGCATACACTGTCAGAAAAAAAAAGGTATGGTGAAGGTACAGTTTTGTTCCTATAGGGGAACAAAACATATAACTGTACCTTTAAAGGTACATAATAGGTCCTTAAAGTAGCCTACCCAAAAAGAGTCATGAAGGTACAATCAGATGTGAGAGGTACATTTTTATACCTTTGAAATTTTACTTACTATTTTTTTTTTTTATTTAGGCCCAACTAGAATAACTTATGTCTATGTTTTTGTTTATTAATTTAATGTCAGTTTATGATAACATCAAATCATATCAATGGCTTTAAATGTTAAAAATATATATTTTCAAAGTGTGCAAGAAAACTTCGCATGAACTACAACGCAGAGTGTTTTTTGGAGTTTACAATTCTCAGGTAAATGCGGAATAATTTTATATATTATTATTTTTACACATGTGAAGCCATGTTCTGTTGATTTTTGACTCGGTGTCGTGTTCCCCTGTTTGAAGCTCGCGAAAAGTTGGCTGGCTGGTGTACGTTAGCCTTCAGGATGGAGCTGAGGAGATGAGTACAGATAATTTAATTTTGTAAAGACGTCACAGAAAAGAAGAGGACGG